ACTTATAGCGAGACTGCGGCGGATATTCTGACACTGGGTGGGAACTGACTATCTGCCACTGACATCCCCAGTGACACTAATACAGTGATCAGTGCTAATAAAAAAAACTGACACTGTACTAATGACACTGGGCAGGAAGGGGTTAACATCTGGGGCAATTAAAGGGTTAAGAGTGTTCTGTGTGTGTTTTTACATTATGTGCTGTGTGCTGTTTTACTTGGGAGACATGCTGCTTTGTATCTCGCTGCTATCTAGAGAGATACAAAATAGCATGTCCATGCTGACAGGAGAGAAGCCTGTGTTGTTTACACACAGATCTCTCCTGTCAGCTTTGCCGACAATCACTGAGTCCCGGCCGGGAATTGACATCTCCAGCAAGCAATAGCAGTGTGGGTAGTGCGGCGTGCGCCCCGTACTCGGGAATGCAAATCACGTCTATATATGTGATTTTGCGCAGCCATGCTGCCATGTAGCAGTACATCTTCTATAGGGTGGCGGGCAACTGGTTAAAGAGCCAGGAGGCGTCGGCGTGAAGGGGTTAAACTTCTTTTTGGGAAAAAAACATTTCAAGATGAGTACAGTGCTTAATAACAGGTACCATATTCTACTTCTTGTAGTATAGAAAATCCCCACCAGTGCCTGGACTATATTCTACACAAAGAGTGACTTTGTGAAAGACAGTTTTTCCATAACCTTAGGTAGACCCCCACATGTGACCACAATTGTAACTGGTGATAGGTTGCTCAGGCACCAAGGGCAGCTTATAGTGATTTTAAAGGCTATTTTTTTAAAAAAAATATTACAAAAAGATTTATACTTATCTGCTCTGTGGAATGGCATTGCAAAGAGCAGTCTCTTACCATCTCTTCTGGAGTCCCCTGCTGGCGCCCTCTGCTCTTCTCTGAGTGCCCCCTCAGCAAGCTGGTTGCTGAAGGGCACTCATGCGGGCGCGCTCCCAAGCCAGGCTGTGTGCATTCATAGGCACACACAGTATGCCTCAGACACGCCCCCGATCCCTCCTCACAGGATTTCACCGACTGCAGCAGGAGGCTATGGCTCCCGCTGCTGCCTGTGTGTCCTTTGAGGAGAAGACATGAAGAAAGCTTGTGCTGCACATGGGGGAAAGAGGAACAGGTATTGGTAGTATTTTTTACCTTAATGCAGAGAATGCATTAGGGTAAAAAAAAAAAAAAACTTTTGCCTTTAGAATCAATTTAATGGAATGGGAAGGATGTAAGTCTTTTCTCCCCAAATCTCAAATACTAGTTGGAAAGATGGATATGTGGCAGCAGCACTGGTGGGGGATTTTCATTACAAGAGGAAAATTCAAGAATCTTATGGTGCCTCTATTCAGCACTGTATTAATGTTACATTTTTAAATGTTAATCATATACATCAAAGAATTAAAGGGAAACTACAATGGCATGGGACCATTTTTGAAAATACTTTAAGTATATATGTTTTCAAACTGATACGTTACATATTTGTTTTTACATGTATGTGTGTGTTTATCAATCTACTTTAATTGGATGAGTGTATAGCCAGCTTTAGGTACAATGCTAAAAGTTTTAGATAACTTGTAGATAAATTCTGAAACTTTCTAATTTCATCATATCATTGCCCATGTATAAGCATGCTTGTGGTGTGTCCAAATACAGTATTTGATTTATACTCCTCTGTCTAATCAAATGTGCATCGAAAACAGGACAAAACTACTGTTTCTACTTTTCAAGCCTGATCAGCTTTAATTTGCAGCTTTTTCTAAGGACATAGCTTGGCAAGAGGTTACCACAAGCATACTCATACAGCATGGCACAAATGTCTTTTATAGAGGTTACACTTAGCTTTTCTTTTTTTCTTTTTGAAAATTAATGCAGATATTTAATGGGAAAGCCTTAAAGTGAATAGATTGCTACTAAACATCATATTATCAATAGAATGTAACTTTTAAAGTTGTCCATTAGCAGATTTTTGAATGAGCGTTCAAAAATTCATATTGGAAATTACCAGTACATTCACTGACTTAATGAATGCTGTTCAAAAGTGCTTCAAAATTCTGTTTGCTTTTAACAGCTGATTTTGGAACAAATATATTTTACTGAACAAAATCCACATATACTGTTAGAAAGTCATTTGTTCGAGGAAAAAATTTTCAAACGCTAAAACAAAAATTTCAAATGAAATTTTACTAGTGTATGGCCAGCTTAACTTTTTTTTTCTAGGATATTGTTAGGTATAGTTAGATAAATCTTTGCCCAGGTTACGAACAAGATAGGTTCTGTAGGTTTGTTCTTAAGTTGAATTTGTATGTAAGTTGGAACATTTTTTAAGTGTAACTCCAGCTAGAGTTGCACCGATACCAATACTGGTGCCGATACTAAGCATTGGCATGAATATCGGTACTTGTGCAAATGCACTGATACCTGAAACAGATACCAGAATGATATCAGCTTGGAAGCTGAGAGGGCTACATTCCCCCACATGGCGGTGAGACCCGTTACATGTCCCTTGCTGACTGCTGTACTCCTGGTGGTGAGTCCTGTGCCTTGCTCTATTTCTGGCAGTCCTGTTACATGTCCCTTGCTGTACTTCTGGCACTGAGTTCTGTTACATCTCTTGCTGTACCTCTGGCGGTGAGTCCTGTTACATATCCCACATATCTCTTGCTGTACTTCTGGCAGTGAGTCCAGTTACACGTCCCACATTTATTTTGCTGTACTTCTGGTGGTGAGTCCTGTTACATGTCCAACACGTCTCTTGCTGTACTTCTGTTCTGGTAGTGAGTCCTGTTACATGTCCCACATGTCTCATGCTGTACTTCTGCTTATTACACAGGATGGCATATACAGCCTTTGTTGCTTTGGACATTCAATGTTTATTGCACTAGACCTGCCACATGCCATTGGGAGGACTGTCCACTTACACAGCTTATATAGCTCATGCATTGAGTTCTTTGCTATATCCACTTTATGGCTGACTTGAAGCCTATCCATCCATTGTGGCTTAGCAACTCACACCCATGTTTTTAGGGGGCTGGCCCGAGCGGGACCGGTGATGCATAATTATATGTTTTTCTTTTGATATGAAATAAACTGAAGGAGGTAGCCGTCTGGATGCATGTGTCATTTTTCTTATTTTGCATATACAGTCATGGCCACAAATACTGGCATCTCTGTTAGATAAAGCACCACATCTCCCAGAAAAGTATTGCAATTACAAATATTAAGGGATTCTTGTGTTTATTTCTTTTTTTGTATTAGTAAAATTAAATAACAAGCATGTCTATACTTACCTGCAATGTGCAGTGGTATTGCACAGAGCAGCCCCGATCCTCTTCTTTTCGGGTCACCACCTACACTCCTTGCTCTTCCCCCTCGAGCAGTACTCTCAGGGAAAGCTACTCATCCTGGGGGTACTGCTACATGCATGACCTCAACCTGCTGCTCTATGCATCTGTCAGGAATGGACTGGCCAGCAATGGTGGGACTCGCCTGCCTTATGGGCTGCAGTACCAGGACTGGCCAGCGGGTGCTCCCAGCAATCAGAGACTCAACCTTGCAGCCAGCTAAACACCTGAAACTGCTTATACTGGTGTATTTAAGGGATGGCCAGACCTGCAGACTCTGCCTTGGTGTGTGTTTTTCCTGGGCCCTGTATCCTGTTCCTGTCTTGTTGCTGACCCTGCCTGATCTGACCTCTGCTGACTTCTCCTGCTCTGACCCCGGCTCGTTCCTGACCTGACCATCCTCTGCCTGACCCTCTGTACCACGCTGCCCGCTACCTGCTGAACCTGGCTTGTGACCCCGACCATTCTCCGCTTGCTCCCCCTGTACCTACCTGCCCGATTGATATTGACCCGGCCTGCCTGACAACGCTTGCATTGTATGTACTGTTATCTGTGGGTGGTTTGGTTTGGTTCGTTTGCACTGTGTTATGTTTTAGTATTGCACTGCGTTTATGTTTGTATTGTTAGTGTCAATAAATTATATTGTTTATAACATATCTGAAGTCTGCGTTTCCCTGCGTCAGTCACACACCTCTGGTCATACCCGGGAGCCCTGACATTACACCAAGGCCAATCCTGACCAGAAGTGGCTGCACAGGGAAGCCATCTTGGTTTGTTGATGGGAAGGATGGATCTTGATGAGGTTGTGTATTTATATCTGCTAGTGTTTGATGACAGAGAGTATGCTTATCAAACTCTGAGGAGTATACCCGGGATGAACTGCTAGAATGTATACGGCTCGCTCATGTTCTAGTAGATCAGGGCACAGAATTCTCTGAGGTGCAGCCATTGATTCAGATTTGTGCGGAGTTGGTTTCATCTGGTATCCCCGAATGCAGGGATGAATTTTTGCCGCCATTTAGTGCCGACCAGGTAGAGTCCCTGGTATGGTTATTAGAGGATGATGTGGATTGCTTCTTGGAGCATTATGCTGCATGTTCACCACAGGTACTAAGAGATTGTATAAACGCAGTGCAGTCTTTGGTCAGACAGGCTTTGTGTAAGCTCAGCTTTGTTCAACCCATACTGCAGACATGGACAGATTTGTTGCACCCAGCCTCAGTCAGCCTACAAAAACCCAGTCCTGCTTCTAATCTATTTCCTCAAAGCTCTATTCCTGCATTCCCAACAGCTCCTCCTGCCCTGCTATCTACCGCATGTCAGTACCCTGTTCCCACTCGCTGCACCTATCCTGCCTTTAACCCTGTAAAAAAGCCCTCTGTAGCAACTGCTCCCTCCCCTGTTCCATCCTCCAGCTCTTCTCTGTCTCCAGCTGCTCCATTCGTTTGCAGACCTGCGTTTACTTGCAGTGCTCCAGTAGTTAAAACCAGAAAAAAAGCGAGAAATTCTTTCCAACCAATACCATCCTGCCAGTATCCAAACCGGTGAGCCTGCCGTCTGAGAACCTGCCTTCCGTGGTTCAGCCTGGTGCCTCGGCACCCGCACTTCAACCTGATGTCTGTATGCCTGTACCGGCCTGATGCCTGTACCCAGCCTGATGCCTGTACCCAGCCTGATGCCTGTACCCAGCCTGATGCCTCTATTCAGCCTGATGCCTGATGCCTCTATTCAGCCTGATGCCTCTACTCAGCCTGATGCCTCTACTCAGCCTGATGCCTCTACTTCAGCCTGATGCCTCTCTTCAGCCTGATGCCTCTCTTCAGCCTGATGCCTCTATCAGCCTCAGCCTGATGCCTCTACTCAGCCTGATGCCTCTACTCAGCCTGATGCCTCTACTCAGCCTGATGCCTCCACTCAGCCTGATGCCTCTACCCAGCATGATGAACTGATCCAGCCTGATGATCCTATTAGGCCAGTTGACTCGATGCCCGCTGTTGATCCAGATGATCCGGTACCTGATCCGGTGCCCGCTGTCGTGCCAATTGACTCAGAGCCCGCTGTCGTACCTGGTGACTCGGTGCCCACTGCCTTGCCAGATGACGCGGTGCCCGCTGGCGAGCCAAATGACCGAGCAAATGACCTGATGCCTGGTGACCCGATGCCCGCTGTCGAGCCAGACGATCCAATGCCTGGTGACCCGGTGCCCACTGCCTTGCCAGATGACGCGGTGCCCGCTAGCAAGCCAAATGACCTGATGCCTGGTGACCCAGTGCCCGCTGTCATACCTGGTGACCCGATGCCCGCTGTCGAGCCAGACAATCCGGTACCTGATGACCCGGTGCCCGCTGTTGTGCCAATTGAGTCAGAGCCCACTGTCGTGCCTGGTGACTTGGTGCCCACTGTCTTGCCAGATGACACGGTGCCCGCTGTTGAGCCAAATGACCTGATGCCTGGTGACCCGATGCCCGCTGTCCAGCCAGACGATCCAATGTCTGACCCAGTGCCCGCGGTCATGCCAGTTGACTCGGAGCCCACTGCCTTGCCAGATGACGCGGTGCCCGCTGTCGAGCCAAGTGACCTGATGCCTGGTGACCCGATGCCCGCTGTCCAGCCAGACGATCCATTGTCTGACCCAGTGCCAGCGGTCATGCCAGTTGACTCGGAGCCCTCTGTCGTGCCTGGTGACCCGGTGCCTGTCGCTCCGCCTGGGGGTCCGGCGCCCGCCGCTCCGCCTGGGGGCCCGAGACCTGTCGCTCCGCCTGGGGGTCCGGCGCCCGCCGCTCCGCCTGGGGGCCCGAGACCTGTCGCTCCGCCTGGGGGTCCGGCGCCCATGCCGCTCCGCCGGGGGGTCCGATGCCTGTCGCCCCCGCCTGGGGCCCGATGCCTGTCGCCCCCGTCTGGGGGCCCGATGCCTGTCACCCCGCCTGGGGGCCCGATGCCTGTCGCCCCTCCTGGGGGCCCGGCGCCCGCCGCCCGCCTGGTGGCCCGGCGCCCGCCGCTCCGCCTGGGGGCCCGATGCCTGTGCCCCGTCTGGGGGCCCGATGCCTGTAACCCCGCCTGGGGGCCCGGTGCCTGCTGCTCCGCCTGGGGGCCCGGGGCCCGCTGCTCCGCCTGGTGGCCCGCTGCCTGCTGCCTCGCCTGGTGATCCGATGTGCCTCTGCCCGGAGTCCAGCCCAATGTGCCTCTGCCCGGAGTCCAGCCCGATGTGCCTCTGCCCGGAGTTCTGCCCGATGTGCCTCTGCCCGGTGTGCCGCTGCCCGATGGGCCACTTCCCGGAGTACTGCCCGGTGTGCCGCTGCCCGGAGTCCTGCCCGGTGTGCCAGTCTTTGATATCCCACCAGTTACCAGACCCGGGCGGTGGAACATTTTGCCCAGCTAGGACTATTTGGAGCGTCCTGAGGCCGCTCCTTGAGGGGGGGTACTGTCAGGAATGGACTGGCCAGCAATGGTGGGACTCGCCTGCCTTATGGGCTGCAGTACCAGGGCTGGCCAGCGGGTGCTCCCAGCAATCAGAGACTTAACCTTGCAGCCAGCTAAACACCTGAAACTGCTTATACTGGTGTATTTAAGGGATGGCCAGACCTGCAGACTCTGCCTTGGTGTGTGTTTTTCCTGGGCCCTGTATCCTGTTCCTGCATCCTGTTCCTGTTCCTGTCTTGTTGCTGACCCTGCCTGATCTGACCTCTGCTGACTTCTCCTGCTCTGACCCCGGCTCGTTCCTGACCATCCATCTGCCTGACCCTCTGTACCACGCTGCCCGCTACCTGCTGAACCTGGCTTGTGACCCCGACCATTCTCCGCTTGCTCCCCCTGTACCTACCTGCCCGATTGATATTGACCCGGCCTGCCTGACAACGCCTGCATTGTATGTACTGTTATCTGTGGGTGGTTTGGTTTGGTTCGTTTGCACTGTGTTATGTTTTAGTATTGCACTGCGTTTATGTTTGTATTGTTAGTGTCAATAAATTATATTGTTTATAACATATCTGAAGTCTGCGTTTCCCTGCGTCAGTCACACACCTCTGGTCATACCCGGGAGCCCTGACATTATCTGTAAGACACAGAGAGTTGCGGCTTGCCCCCCCCCCCCCTCTTCTCACTAGCCCACTGGCTGTGATTGACAGCAGTGGGAGCCAATGGGTTCCCACTGCTTGGGCTCCTGCTGCTGTCTCAGCCAATGTGGAGTAAGAGTCTCCAGACAGCTGCAGCTGTCGAGGATGCCACTGCATCAGAGAGGGCTCAGGTAAGTATTGCGGGGCTGGAGAATGCATGAAGGTAAAAACCTTGAGCCTTTAGAGCCACTTTAAAAATGCTGGATGCTCGGATGGCAGCAGAAAGAATGTACAACAAGCAGTGGTGAGAGCAGCTTCATATTATATGTCTAATCCATTATTTTTTTCTTAAATAAACTGTGGCTCAATAATTTTTCATTTTCTGTTTTTTTTCCCTCAAGGTGGAGAGACTTCTTTACTTCAACCTTTCAGTGCAAACAGATACCAGAAATATCTGAACAGTCTGGAAATATTTTTAAATCAACGAAACCAACCTATGCATGGCAGACTGTAAACTTTGTTCTGCAAAAATATTAAGAGGAGGGTCAAAAATAAGTGGCAGACTACAAACTTTTTTTCTGGAAAAATATCACGAGGAGGTTCAAAAATAAGTGCTTATAATTTCAGTAATCTCATGAAACACCTCCAAATGAAACACAAAAGTAAGCATGGAGAATTTACAGCTGTCGATAACTCTAACACTAGCACTCAGCAGCTGACACTGCAGCAAACCCTTCTCAAGACGAGAAAAATTATCCATGGATAACCCAAGGGATACAAATCACTATTCTTGATGACCAGCCACTATCAATAATTGACAATGTGGGTTTTTTGGCAACTTCCCCGTTTTGTCACAGATGTTGTCTTGACACAGTGAAAAAACACATTACCAGCATTATGCAGGAGGACATATAAAGGCAATCAGTTTCACCACAGTAGTGTATGTCCAGTGTCTGTAATTAGCCTAACTGCACAATGAATTGATGGCAATTTCACAAGACATGCACCACTCAAAGAACTTTCAAGGCTCTCACACAGGCCAAGATATAAAGAGCAAAGTTGAAGAAATTCTTGAAACTTCCGAAATGTTCTGTCCATGTGGTAGTCCATGATACTGCCAGAAATATAATAAATGGTGTGGAAGATGCTGGACTTCAGAGTCTTTCTTGTGTGGCACATACACTGCAGCTGGCTGTCTTCAAGTGTCTTTTATCACAGTGCAGTTGGGCGCAGAATAGTTGGCCACTTTAAACATTCAAACTTGGCATATTCTCGGCTGCAAGATATTCATATCCAGCTCGGTCAACCCGTTAAAAGACTTCAACAAGATGTTCAGACTCGCTGGAACAGCACTTTTTACATGCTGCATTCTCTTACTGAGCAGAAGCGGGCCATTGGAGTATAGGTGCCAGAACATGAGCTGCCTGCAGCTATCACTGCAAATCAGTGAAATCTCATGGAAATGATGAATAACATCTTGGCTCCCTTTAACCACTTGCCAACCGCGCTATAGTTGAATGACGGCTACAGCGCGGTTGTCCAGTTCTGGGAGGGTGTCATATGACGTCCTCCCAGAACGCGCCCTCCTGCGTCCCCAGGGGCACGCACCCAGCGATCTTCGTGATCACTGTGTCCTACAGACACAGCTGATCACGTGATGTGTTAAATGACCAATCACAGCGGCCTTTTACCAGTGATCAGCTGTGTCCAATGACACAGCAAATCACTGGTAAATGCAGCTGCTGGTTATCGGCTGCACTTTCCTCACGCTGTCACAGTGTGGGGAAAGTACTGCCGAAAACCGTCAATTGTCAGAGGATGGATCGGCACCAATTATCAGGGCACTGATCATCAGTGCCCAGCAGTGCCACTCACCTGTGCCCATCAGTGCCTATTAGTGCCACCCCACCTGTGCCCAGCAGTGCCACCCACCTGTGCCGCCAGTCAGTGCCAAGCAGTGCTGCCAGTCAGTGCCATCAGTCACTGCCGCCAGTCAGTGCCACCCATCAGTGGCCATCATCGTTGCATATCAGTGCAGCATCATCAGTGCCAATCAGTGCCACCTATCAGTGCTGCCTATCAGTGCCCATCAGTGCTGCCTATCCATGCCACCTCATCAGTGCCGCCTATCAGTGCCCATCAGTGCTGCCTATCGGTGCTCATCAGTGCTGCCAATCAGTGCAGCCTCATTAACACACATCAGTGGAGAAAAATTACCTGTTTGCAAAATGTTATAATAGAAACTTTTTTTTCAAATTTTTTTGCTCTTTTTTTGTTTACAGCACAAAAAATAAAATACCCAGTGATGATTAAATACCACTAAAGAAATCTCTATTTGCGTGAAAAAAAATTATAAACATTTCATATGGGTACAGTGTCGCATGACCACGCAACTGTCATTCAAATTGCGACAGCGCTGAAAGCTAAAAATTGGCCTGGGCAGGAAGGGGGTATACGTGCTCGGTAGGCAAGTGGTTACTGACTCGCCAAGTGAGTTGTTCTGATTATTTTGCCTCAGATGTAATTCCTGCAGTCACTGTGCTAGAGACTCTTACCAAAAGAAGTGGATGAGGACACGTTACTGCATCGCTACTTCACACAGTCTAAGGTAATATTGAATGTCTGCTATAAATTCATAAAAGATTATTTAATTTGCTAATAAAATAAAAAAGATTAAATGTTAGGGTGAGCTGATCTACTATTGAACATTTTAACCTGTTCATGCCAGCCGAACACAAATGTGCGGCCTCCCGGCGTCTGGGCCTAGACACCAAGCAGCCGCACATTTGCGTTCTATTAAAAAAAGACATATGGCTGGAGCAGCACTGGCTGAGGCTACACTCATTCATATTTTCATGTACTGGGTTGGTGAGAGGTGCTCCTTCCTTTCACTGATGATGCCTTACTGCCAGCTGCTAACAACATCCTTGGCATCCTTGAATGAGCAACATAATTATTTATGTTTTGTGAAATTTGTTTTTTTCACAAATTGGTAAGACGTTGAAATAGAAGCACATCAAAGAGTTTTTTATATTTTTAAATTACACATTTTTTTTATAATGTTTTTTGAGGTACAGTTCTGCTCCTCATGCTTAAACATAACTAACTGTATTGCACTTGGCTGGTATGTTTACATACATGTTATTTAATATCTAATAATTTAAACATGTTCTGTGAAATTTTAGCTTTCATAACTTTGTAACAAGCAAATAAAATGGTTTTGTTTCATACTGTCTTTTGAGTTACAGTTCTTCATTATTATAAAGAAACGGTAATAATTTTTCATTAGTCGAAAAAAAATTTTCACATGCCACTAAAAATAGGTATCAGTAATTGGTATCGGTGCCCACTTGAGGGAAAGTATCGGTACTCGTCTTCAAAAATTGGTATCGGTTCATCCCTAACTCCAACCAAAAATGTATTTATGCAGTGAGCTGGGATTGCTGACAGGTCAGTAGATGGCAGCATGCGGTGAGCAGCAAGATGGCCGCCCGGTGGTTTCCAGGACCAGTATGTCACGCTGCCTCCATTCTTAAGTATGAGTCATATCTAAGTCGGATGTTTGTAACTCGAGGATTGCCTGTAGTACATATTTTGCCTTTATCAATTCAGTTACAGAGCATTGTGTCTGTTTACAGCCACATGTCTGTTTACAGCCTTGAAGAGTCAAATGTTTGGGCTGACCTGAAAGATTCTGAGAACCAGTCAAGAATACAAGCTTAGCTGACACGATGTACAGTATATATATATATATATATATATATATATATATATACACACACATATACAGTATATATACTTATATGTTCCTATTGATAAATATTAAAAATTAAAGTGGATCTAGGGTCGATATGTAAAACCATATATTCATTTTCGTATTGTATTTTAATACCCTATTCCTAATAATCTGAACAATTGTTAAATTTGTAAAATTTGTGAAGAATTCCACACACTTCCTTCATTAAATTCTGTGACACGTATTCACTATGACCTGTGATTGGACACTGCTGTGTCACACATTTCACAGAGCCTGCCTTCTCAACTACAGAGGTGCTGAGAGGAGGAGTTTCAGGAGGT